GGGGGGGGGGGGGGGGGGGGGGGGGGGGGGGGGGGGGGGGGGGGGGGGGGGGGGGGGGGGGGGGATGTTTCGGAGTTGTGTGTCGTGAGCGCGAAATAAGCGAGTTGGAAAGGCCTACAGCTGAAAAAACTAGCGCGACGCCGCCACTCCCCAGATGAATTGAGCGCGTTCGGTGTCACCTGTCCGAACACAACCAGGTGTCTCCCCTCGCCGCCTTGACCGCCTGCAGGCCCGAGGCCCGGCGTGACAAGGTTTTCGCGCGCAAACTCCGCCGTTGGCTTCTCGGCGAACTTCGTGAGACGGTACACGCGCCCGCCAAGCGGGAGCGGCGGTCTTTGGGCTTCAGTGTATGCTACTGCTGCTGCTGCTGCTGCCGCCGATGGCGATGTCGTCGGAGCGCCGTTCCCGCCCGCCCCGCCCGCCGACCTTGTTGGTACGGCCGCGGCCCGGTGCCAACGCTCCACGATGTGCTGGGGAGGGTCCCCGACGCAATGTCCCGCCGCTACGCCGTACGGAGACACCGAGCTCTCTCCCATGACCTGCACGCGTGTGAATTCCAAACGATGACGTCACGCGGGCGGGCGCACGAAAACTATCAGACGGAGGGAGCAACGCTTGAGCTATGCAAGAATAGGCTGTACTACTGCTGAAGCGAAAAGAATGAAAGCATCATAAACAGAGCTGTCCTTGAGGATAGCTTCTTCGCGTCCTTTTCGACCTCGCAAATGTGACTTTTTGTTCCGTGCGTGTCTTGTTTCTTACTCAGCGTCCAAGTCTCAGCGACAGGCTCTCCCCTCCTGTTGGGCACATCTGCGTCACCTCGATCGTTTCGCTATGCTGGAATACGTCATTTCGAGAACAGGTGTTTCTACGGCGGGCTACTTAGGTTCTTTCATTCTCGTCTGTGTACCCCTTCTGTGGGCTTCGTCTGTGACCACAAATATGTGTTTATTCGCTAAAGGGTATTCTACGGAGTAGGAGGTAACAACAAAAAGATCAGAACGGCTGTAGAACGTAACAACGGCAACGACAACAACTCTCGTCCAACTGCTCCTAGCAAAAGCTCCGGTGACCCTCACTCCTTGGTGCGTCAAAAAAACGCCGACTTCGTAAACCACGGAAACCAGCTAATCGCTCACTCACCTTGAGCCCGATCGCCGGCTTCCCCGCCTCCCCGTGCTCCAGGAAGGCGTGCACGAGCTGGCTGGCGCATGCCTCTGTCGTGCCCGCCCCTCTCCGGTACAGGTGGTCGCCCAAAACCAGCAGGAAAGACGAATCCGGGTCTTCCCCGCTGCTGCTACTGCTGCTGCTGCCGCTGGTGAGGCCTCCGTTTTCGAGGGCGGCCTCTGCCACGCCCGGGCCGGCGTGTTCGGTCCCGAGGATGGCGTCGCGCGCACAGAATACGGCGTGTCCGAAGCCCTATTCCGAGAGGGTGTTGTCGACGAGTGGCGGTAGTTGCGGTCGGAAGGACGCAGGTGAAGGGGACAGAGCGTGTGTCCTCTTGTCTTAAACCCCAAATCTTCGGTACAACCGTTGCCGATCTTCCCCGAAATGCCCCTACCTCCCCTTCCCTGGGAGGTCAACGGTCTAAACGACTACGGCATGCAAGGCTATGAGTACACCCTCCCTCCCCCCCGACATGAACACTGGCACACAAGATCTTTCCACTTGTCCCGCACTTTGTATTTGGCGGGGCGATGGGGCCGCACGGACCAGCGGGAGCACAATGAAGGTCGGCAAACACGCATCTCGGCGCGAAAAACTTCGGATGAACGCGGTTTCTGTCCTGCCAACGCACGCCTGAACTTCTCCGTGTCGAAACAGTAGACACTCCCAAGCTATCGCGGCGGATTCATCGCACGCACCTCCTGCTGCTCCTGGACGGAGTACGTTATCCTCGGGCGGAGCGCATCTATCCTGGCGCAGTAAGCTCGTTGCGCGGGCTTCAACCTGACCAGTAGAAGTCACCGGGATAGGTCGTGCAGCGCGCACGCGTTGTCTCGTGGGATTGGATAGGAAGTCGAGAGGGTTGCACTACCAAGCAGGACTTCGTTTCCGTACAGCCCGAAAGAGACCAACTCGCTGTAGGGAGATGGAAGTTTTCTTCCGCTTGGAGAAGAATCAGCACACACACAAACACAGCACTTACGCAAGCCGCCCGATCAGAGAAACCCCGCGGACCGCAACTCACCTGTGTTTGTGCTTCTCCACGGCCTTCATCGAGAAGAAGTCGTCGAACACCGCGATGTCCTTCTCCTGCACAACCACCACAAACCTCTCGATGCCCGACTCCACAAGCCCCTCCATGATGGCCAGGATCACCGGCTTGCAGACCCCGTCATGGTCGACGATTGGAAAGAGCTCTTTTTTAACCACGGCGGACGCCGGGAACATGCGCGTGCTGAGTCCCGCCGCCACGATAACCGCCGACTTGACCCTGCGCGGGTGCAGCATGCGCAGCGGTACTGGGCTCGAAGTTTGTAGAGGCGGCGGCGGCGTGGTGGTTGGATGGTTCACCCCGGCCGCAGTCTCGCTTCCGTCTCCGCTTGTCGACGTCGGTCGTATCACCCTCACGGGTAGGACGCCGGTCATCCCTGCGTGTGTGTCGCGCACGCGTAGTCGTGTGTCCTTGTTCGACGCGGAAAATTTCCTGTGTTTGCCGGCCGGCATCGCGCTGCCGCCGCCAGCCATGGCTCCAAGCCTTTCATTTCTGCTCGTGCTCGTTCCCCGCCATAATTTTATTCGAGCGAAGCGAGATTTCTAATCTCGCCTGAAACATACCGCTTCAGTCAGGGAAAAAAGTTTGCACGTGCGTGTGTCTGTTCGCTTTAACTTGCTTTTAGACTACATAACTTGATTTTAGACTTAAGGGATCAGCAGATGCACTTTTTTTTTCCGGAGCACACTGGATTGCAGCAGAGAACCCACGCACTGCGGGCGATACCACACAGCAGACAACACACGCACAGCAGACAGCGTACGCATAACAGGCGACACACACGTGCAGCGGGCGACAGCATCTGGGCTCGATGGCGCTGGACTCTCCGTGGCGTGATGAGGCTATGTATTGCTCTATTGCTCTGTCACGCATGTTTTTTTTACCGTCGCGTGCAACTGCCAGCAATGCGAGCGCAGAACCCCATTAGTTCTCGAAACCTAGGACGCCGATCGCCATCGCACCACTTCCAGCGTGTTATCCATTGTGATGTCTCTGGGCGTGATAGTTGTGTTGGGCATGGGTGCTGTATGTGGCGAGAGCATGGTGGCGATCTGAAATCCGGCTTGGCTTTTTCGCCTGGGGCGATGCGGCCCGATTGCCCGGGCCAAAAAAACGATTTGGATTCCACGCCGCCACGAACATCTTCCCACACACAGCACCCATGCCTAACACAACCGTCACGCCCCGAGATATCGCAATGGAGCACACGCTCGAAGTGGTGCCATGAAAATTGGTGCGCTAGGTGACGAGAGCTGACTTGTGTCCTGCTGTTTCGCTGGCAGTTGGAAAAGCACCGAACATTAAAAGAGGGAAAGGGGGTTCACCATTGGTATGCGGGGGGTATGAATGACGACGAAAGCGGGATGTGGGCGGGGAGGGGGGGTAACCGGTAGGTGCAAGTTAACGTTACAACAGCTCTCACACCAACACAGCAGGTAGTGGGTGTAGTATCAAGTGTGTGGTGTTTGCACTCTGTTTCCGCCCGTGAACGCACACGTCTGACGACAGTAATATCTATCAGCTGTCGCTCGTTGTAGCGACAGCTAGTATATCTTTAGCCAAACATTTCTACAACTCAGAAGTTTCAATGGAAGCATTGCTGGGTACCATCGGAGTGATTGCTGCCGGCAAGGTGGGAGCTCTCCTTAACCTCCTCACCCATTTCTCGGAGCACTAGCGTAAGCTCCTCCTGCTCCCGCCGCCCTCTTGCCAGCATCTGAACACTCCCGTCCCCCTGGGCACCGACGCCTTTGACCCCCCACGTCAGCGACTTGACCCTGACTCAACGTACAATGCAAAGGAGGATCTTGAGAGCACTACCGCAATTCGCAAAGGCAGTTTGGATTAGCTGAGGGGCGGAGGTTCGGATTCCGAGTACGCGGGGCCAACGCTGAAATAAATAACGAGGCTGAGAGGCTTCCAGTGTGAAGCTTTAGGGCGGAGGTCGCCGGTAAGGTTGAGATAAGGGATAAGGGTTTCGGTACGGGCGCCGGCGAAATGAGCGTTAGCAAGCGGCGTAAGGCCTAGAGGCCGAGCGAACGACAGCGCAACCGTCATCGCCGTGCCATTTGTAACCGAAAGCGTGCCAGCACGTCTGGGCACAGAGGTTCCAACGGGGCTTGTTCGGCGGCACTTTGCCGCTCGTACCTTGGTGCACACCGTATGCTCGTCAGACACCGTGTGCTTGTCGGAGAACCTCGCAGCGAACGCAGTACTACACCACGCAGATACGACGAAGCAGCGGCGGCTTACCTCGGGTCTGACATGACCTTGTGCAGCAAAGGGCTGGAGAACTCGGAAGGGCAGATAGGTATCGCGGCCTCGTCGAAGCTAGACTGCTTTCGAGAACGGCGGCGCGGTTTTGTTTTTTTCGCGAAGGAGACAAAGCGCGCAAGGGCACATGGGGAAAAAGGTTGACCCTTGACGAGGGGCGAATAACGGGGAATCGGTGCTGGTGTTGGTACGTGAGAAAAACAAAAAAAAACACCTGCCACCAGGGTCGAGACTTCAAAAAAACATTTCTTCTTCCATGGAATGCGTTGACAGCAATAGCCCCCTGTGTCTTTCATCATCTCACATCTCACCTGTGCCGCTGTTATGGCTCTGCCAAGCTCCTGAGCATCGCCTTGCTCTATCGCGGTTACCGCCCTCCAGGCCAGCTGTGCGTTGTCCCTGATATAACGATGCACTCTTTCCTCGGAGTCATCCTAGAAACAAACGTACACCCAAGGGCATAAAGACACGTGCGTCAGGGATGAAGTGACGACGAGAGATACCAGGATAACCAGAACGTGTGAAGCACGTATTCTCTTTGGCGCCCGCGGATCAGCCTGACAAACATCCAACGATAGATTGCCGACAGTGCAATGGCAGGCAAAGCTGGCCTACACGAGGCTACGTTGGTGGGCGGTGGCTCTGGGACCGACACGCCAACGCCAGATTTTTCCAGCGGCGAGTCCCGCTGTTGGCCCGCAAAGCATGGCTGAAATACACGCGGCATCAAGAGGCATGATCGAATCGACGCTACGAGCGGGAGCAGCGCCCCAGCGGGCCATCTCATGTAGGGTGAGTAAGTGCGCGCCTGCTACGCTGCCTAGACTTGGCGTTAAGACAAGGCCCCGCCCGTGTTACACCTATACAACTAAGACGCTAACGAGGTAGGCGCTTCGAAAATGGAGAGGATCGAGTGCTCTGGGCGACAGAAGGGACGCACGTTCAGCCTACCGTTCGTTCAACGCTGAGGAGACAAAAGCTGCAGGGTGAACGAATCCTACCGTCGGAAGCAGGGCGTTGCTTGCTCGCACATGTGCCCGCCTCCTCTGTTCACCTTCGCGTGGGGGAAGCACTGGTTGAGGGACGCCAGCATCTTGATGGTGTCCTTGGAGCCATTAAGGTCGGCCACCACCAAATATATCCCGTTCTCCGGCGGAGCCACCTGCGTTGTCGAGAGGGAACCGTGAAAAAGTTGGAGACCATCGTGCACGCCAATTGCCGTGCTTGCGTCGAGAATCAAGGGAGCGGTAGCCTGCCCTAGGGGAAGCCTGCACTTGAACAGCAGCGTGTGAAAAAACACGATTGTTTTCAAGAACAGATTCAAGAAGGCCGTGTCGCCCGCGGGTGCGCAAGATGCCCGAAGCACCTTTCGTGCATGCAGCGACCGCGTGAACCCGCACCGCGAGATGACGCGCGATGCATAGAAAACATAGGGCCCGATTATATGTAAGAGAACTTCTGTGTGTGTGTTGTGGACACGCGCTACATGTCGCCAGCGTAGAGACGGCGGCCTTGCCCACGTGTCGTTCGCGGCGACGGACCAGCTCAGAAGCTGTCCCACGCCGCCATACCCGCGGACGGTATCATTTGTCTAAGCAGAATATTAGTCTTACCAATCGGCCCGCAGCTTGGCTGCACAATGGAGGGGAAGAACGATTCCCAGGATCAGGTTCTGTATGCTACGAAAACCTTCGAGGAGGAAAGATTTTCGTTCTTGGTCATATCGGGAACAAATAACTGAGCAGTGCTCCCCAAAGCAACGAGCCCAGCCTTCCTTCTTTGCGGGAAAATTAACAATATGCAATTGGCCCGCAAGCAAGCAAGCAAGCAAGGCCTGACCTCGTAGATGCGCACGTCTTCCCCGTCGAAGAACATGGCAGCCACGTGGTTGGTACCAAGTGCGCAGCATTGGTCCATCCGCCCACACTTGCTGCCCGCGCGAGCCTCGCCCAGGTGCGCCAGCTCCATCACCTGCAGTGGTATCCGCATACACCGTTGTTGACGAAGCAACCACTTGAGAAAATGGATACTCCAAAGTGAGCTCCACTTTAGGAAATGTGAACTGCGCGTGGAAAATACTCGGGGGCGACAATAGCCAGAGTGCGTGATTCGTAAACGTCAAGCATACAAGGGGGGCGGGGACTGCCAATATGTCGCTGGGGGAAGGCAGAATTTGCCTCGGCCAATTCAAAATACCAGTATATGAAAACAACGTTACATAGAGAGACATTTCTTCTGTTAACCCGGTATCACAGGCCTTCTTACGGTCATCAATATCTGTCCCAGGGCAACTCGACAGCATGCTACATCGGTAGCCCCCAATAATGCACTATTGCGGGACCCTTTTGGTCGTAAACTTACCTGATGAACGGTCAGTTCTAGACCGTGCGCGAGGCACAGCGCACGCACGACCAGAACGCACACGGCCGCGCTACTGCTGAGCCCTTTCTTGAGCGGCAGGGTGGTCAGGTAGTTGTCGATCGTCACGCCGCCGGCGCTGTGATCTCCGCCCTTTCCAGAGGAGGGAGGGAGAGGGGGTTATGGTGAGGCACGGACCAGTTCTCGTCATTTCGCTACAGCCAGTTTGGATCATTTACCCCTGTGCTTGGCGGAGAGAGAGCGATAAAACGCCAGAGAGAGTGAAAAAGCAGGTGGTGGGGGCCTTGGCGACGGATGACTCGAAGCTCCGTTCTAAAGGCGGGGTTCACACTCCCCCGCAAGCGTTCTTCCAGAACGCCTCTTTCTTCGGACATCTTCCATTTCTCCCGCGCATACTCTCAACACCAAAGGGGGCGAGGAACGAGAACGGGTGTGCGTGTTTGGAGCAGTCGGTCGTTACGAAAATCGTTCGTGCCGCGCTTCAAGTGCCGACACCGAGCAGGACCACGCCCCTCTGCAATGCTTTCCTTCTCATGCCACAGCCGGAGAACAACCAAACACATGGCGCGACACTCCAGGGGGGGGCAGGCTATTCCAACCAACGCTTTGATACAGAGATAGCGGGCGGGGTTCTTCCTCCTCTTCCCCACAACTTCGCAGACCCCGCCTATACATACTCACAGCGGCTGACGAGAGCGGCCGGGAGAAGAGGCCGAACCTGGAGCAAACGACGAGCGCCGTTCCCGCGACGTACATAAAAAACCCCTTGGCCTCGATCACGCCCTTCAGAGCCTGCTCGAAACACAAGAACATGTTACGGCTGGGGAGGATAGATCTTCATTGATGGGTGGGTAGGTGGGCGGGTTTCTGCATGTGTGTTTTTCAGTTGGCGGGTTGGTTGACTGCGTTCAAGTGATGCACAAGACGCCGACGCAAGTTCTGGTTCGTTCCTACGGCAGGTGTGCGAGTTGTGCAAAGAAGGAAACCAATGGTGACAGTTAGTCGGCGGGTTGGTTGACCGTGTTAACGTAATGCGCAAGATGCCGACGCAAAAATTGGTTGCTACCGTTGCTATCGGCAGTGCAGTTCTGTAGGTTTCGGCTGTATGTGGTTCGAGAAGAAAGACAAAGCGTCGTGAGCTTGTAAGACACAAAAAGAAAACATTTCGGGGTTGGAGGGGGGGTCGAATGTCATCTCAGACAATATCATCTCAGACACCGTCGCGCCTTACGCTCCACGGACTCTACGGAAGTGACTCAACACAGGTAAGCAGATGCTGGTTGTGCGTTTATATGTCAGAGTCGCCCTAGGTTCCGAATTTTTTAGCAAATGACATCATGTAGCAAATCGCAGGCGCATTTCCTTTGCAGAGTTGGGCGAGGCCTCGAAACTTGCACGAACGTACGGAAGGCACGTTCAAACATATACGTTAGATGTTACCTCCTCCGTCAAGGCTACATCCAAGGTCGAGACCCCATCGGCAGCACCAACAGCACCCCCAGATGCAGCAGCAGCGGCGGTTTGCCCGTCTCCGCCAGTAGAGCCGTCGCCGCCGCCCTCGCCCACCGTAGATGCGTCTGGGCAGCCGGCCTTGAACATGAGCCTCCCGTCCGCCCTGGCTTGCACTTTAGCATGCAGGCCCTCCCTTGTCGTGGCCACGACGGTGAAACCAGGAGGAACGGCGCGATTTCGGTCACGGTAGCCCGCCGCCCAGTCGGTGTGCTCGCCTAATACGCACAACTTTGTTCGTTTGTTCGGGGGGGGGGGGGGGGGG